CACACACACACACATACAAACACATACACACACAGACACACACACAGACACACGTACACACACACCCACACACACACACACACACAAACAAACACATACAAACACATACATACACACATACACACACATGCACACACACACGTAAGGCTACTATGCTCTACTCGCCTTTCATTTTAACAAAATAGGGCCTACTATATTATATAAAGAGCACACATTGTAATTGTTAAGTCCATGTTTTGAGAGGTATTTGTGATTGCTCTGCTTTTTAATCAGTTAGAAAACCTCTACCAAAAAGTGCTGCTCATTGCAGAAAAAATGATATTCCCGATTACATTTGTAATTTGATATTCAACACATGTAGGCCTACACGTCCATTCCACCAATGCTAATGCACCTCAATACACGCAAGAACACATTCTTACGTTTCTTTGATTTCACAAAATTCTGCCAAGTCTCATTTTTAAAGGTCAATTTTGAGTAGCCATGTCTTAGGCGACGCTCAGTATAGACGAACTATAATTATTAATGTGTTATATGATGCAGCATTAACATTTACTTAGCTTTAAATTGGTGTGCTGCATGAGTGGGTGATGCAAGGATTTAACACGGTGACAGGGAGATTACAATTTCAAGGTTATTTTCGAGGGAGGGGGCGGGGGACGCCACTATAACATGTATATTATAACATAATATACAGTATAATCTCCGCCTAAAATCCCACCGCTTACAATCCCAGTTCGCTTGGATCTTGCACAAAAATCTACCCTAAGATACCGCTCTGAAGGGCTACAGTCGGCAAAGATTGGTTCATACATGCATAATTTACAGAACGAAAACCCGCCGGGCACAGCTGATCAGCCGTACAGTAATCTACAAGTGAAAATTTGCGATAATTTATCAGCCCGTTCCATCACAGCACCCTTATTATGCACTCTCGTGGATGTGATCCCACGCCCCCTCTAAACGTAATAAAGCTGGCGCGGCGTCGATGTGATCCTATACGCTCTTACTGCTCTGAGCGTCTATCTAATGTGATCACATGTCCGTTGTAAATCTCGATGAAACGGCACAATGTTTGCCCCAGATGGGATCACATCGAGGTATGAATTGACCGACGGGTTTGTTTTCCACAAGGAGCTTAGAACTTTTAATCTCCTTGGTTTTCCCCCAAACACTGCACTCAGCTCTCAACCTAAACGTACAATTACAATGTACATCAATCGCTGGGTGGGTAGGTTCTACAAGTTCGCTCCAGAGGCATCACATCAAAATGTGAACTCTTCCTTGACCACTGCAGCAGTTTGTCTTTACTACAAGGATCACATCAAAATGTGAACTCTTCCTTGACCACTGCAGCAGTCTGGATTTACTACACTACAAGGATCACATCAAAATTATGTGAACTCTTCCTTGACTACTGCAGCAGTTTGGATTTACTACAAGGGTCACATCAAAATGTGAACTCTTCCTTGACCACTGCAGCAGTTTGTCTTTACTACAAGGATCACATCAAAATGTGAACTCTTCCTTGACCACTGCAGCAGTTTGGATTTACTACAAGGATCACATCAAAATGTGAACTCTTCCTTGACCACTG